GTTTGAGGCTGCACTTGCAACCAAGACTTGCCGCCTCTGCTACAAAGTGAGTGATAAGCAACCCCTTTGCCATGGAGATTTTGGACTGAAGCCTGGCGATTGTTTCCGCTGTTGTCTGCAGAGGCATATAACCATGACAACCCGTCGATTTATTTGAGAGCTTATGCTGTCTGCACGCGGATTTGGGCAGCGCTTAAATGCGATTAACATCTGCCCGTCCTTCTTCCCCTACTCGACCCCTTTTTTCATCACTATCGGTACTCTTGAGCAGACTCTTTGGTAACCAGGAACTGCACTTCATCTGAAAGATTTTAAAAATTCAAGCTTCTTTATTCCAATCCCTCTTTAAAATTTACTAAAAGCAGAGAGAGAGAGAGAGAGAGAGAGAGAGAGAATTGAGAAAGTCAGCTTTTGTGGCAACACTTTTTTCGGCTTACGCAGGAAATTGTTTGCTCTGTTTGCTTAACAACTGTTTCAAAAAAAAAAAAAATAAAGGCGCTTGACAGCCTTGTCCTCATCATCATTGCTGTCGCCCAAGTCAAATTTATCTGCTGTAGCAAAATCTTATCATACTCAACGACGAAATATCTATCGGCAGGCGACCAGACTAGACCAGTCTGTCAGCTCATCAGGCAGCCAACTAGAAAGATACATACGAGTACATGGGCATAGACGTTCCTTGACGATTATTTGAACAAAGTGCCGCCCGCACCCACCCAGCCCCACAGCATTATTATTAACAATGACAACAACAAAAATAGCAAACCAATGCGACACTCGCTATTGACAGTAGTAGTTGTATTGCAGAAGGACTTGGACATTTGAATACTCTAATCGAAGATATATACGAGTATTACCTTACATTAAGTACAACTCTTGCTTTTGAGAATTGGCAGTAAATACAGTTTGGAATGAAGCCCACGAATTATGTGTGACCTATAAAAACATACAATAAAATTAGTTAATTAGTAGTGGATCGCATTTATTTATCTTTCTTTATCGAATTACTAATCAAGTTCTTGAGCAGTCTCAAGTTTGGAAATGAAGCTCAAGAAATGCATTTTAAGTCCAAAAACAAAGATATTTTTATTAATATTACACAAATATATCAGCAATATCAAATTTCTTCTTAGGAATATTTTGTTCAAAAAATACAAAATTTTAGAACCGCAGAAAAAAAATAAAAAAAATTTGAAATGAAAAATAAAAAAAAGAAATACAAGAAAGGTAATAGATCGGTGTATATAACTGTAGAAATTAATTATCAATACAAAAAATCGGAAGATTTTAATAAAATATGTACAAATATTTTAGCAACACTAAAAAATTTACATTTATTTTATGGGAAACAGATGATGTTATTTTGGCATTATCGATCAGTCTGAAAAACTATAATTAATCCAAGCTATGAATTGTAATTAAGAGCTCCATTAACTCTAAGCCTATTTATTATTGTTCATATGTATAAAATGGACCAATTTGAGGGCGTTATTCAAAACATTCGTTCCAATACCTTACAAATGATCCCTTTTACATAGGTATATATATATATATATATATATATATAATATTGATAGAATATGTCGTAAGCTATGAAGTACATTTGTTAGACTGGGAAAGTTGATCTAAGATCTCTAGAATGGCAGATAAAGAAAGAAAGAAATTCAAAACATTTCATTCGCCTGCGTATTACTTTGTGAGCCGCTTAATATCCTTTTGTGAAGGGTATAACCACAACGACAAACCGTCTGCCGGTTTTCTCGTGGCCATATCCAGCATTATACATGTTGTATCTTGTTTATTGTGTTGGTGCTGTCATGGGGCAGCAACGTTAACAACAACAACAATAACGACAACAACAACAACAGCAGCATCGCCAACGTGCTCGTCGTCACTTTGTTCAAATATCCTCGAGCACGTATATTTTCATGAAGACACGTGCTCCATATTTGCGTTGGCCCAAGTCTTCAGAGATTAATGCACGCATTAGTAGATTTAATGCATATTACGAGGAGCGTGCCGTTGCCTTGGCTGCCGTCAGCTCAATTGAGACATTTCGGGGAATACCCCAGCAGCAGCAACAACAGCAGCAGAAAATGCCTAACTACCCCACAAAACACTCGTATATACTTATAAGTATGTGACTCGTATGTACTCCCGTATAATATTTGTATGTATTTAGCCAAAGTAATATACCAGTAAATTATAATTGCGCAGGTAGCACATTTTGGTTTCGATTGATTTTGTGAAATCTTCTGACAATATTAATTAAATCAAACCGCACAGTGCTTCGTCTAGCTTTGTCTCAATTCAAGCCTAACGGTGTTTCAAAACTCTCCAGAAATTGATATACATATGTATGTGTGAATGCGTATGTAGTCCGCATTTATCCACCACTTTTTGCTTAGCATTGAATTTCATTGAATTTCATGGTTTTCAATCAATTTCATGCCATAGTCCCAGCAGGGGAGCACCAACAAACACAACTCCCGAAGGACTTGTAAAGAGATTGCAAACAGAAATGAAAACGGCTGCCAAGAGCATTGTGAGTCGCAGTTATGATCATCATACTGTTTATGACCATTAACGGCATACTTTGCTTACCAAATGACCTATTTTGTTGGCCTAAATTAATTTCTAACAGATACTCTGGAATCCTACTGCTACTCGAAAGGTAGAAGAGATTATTTGGTTTTTGAAAATTAAACATGTAACAGGCAGGAGGTGGCTTGGCAGACTACAAGTATACTAAATACACATATATATATTCTGGATCAGCATGACAAGTCGAGTCGAGTCTGTCTGCATGATCGCAAGGGCCTCAGTAAGAATGTCCAAACTTGGTATCCAGGTTCCAAATCAAGATTGTTTTTTTCTTTCTTGTGATACACCCCGCTCGACAGTGTGGTCGTGTTTGTGATTTTTCATAGTTCCCGCAATTTTTGGAATTTTTACATTTTTATACCCTGTACCCGTAGGGTAAAAAGGGTATTAGGTTTGTGCAAAGTATGTAACATGCAGAAGGAAGCATCTCCGACCCCATAAAGTATATATATTCTGAATCAGCATGACGAGAGAAATCGATCTAGACATGTCCGTCCGTCCGTCCGTCTGTCCGTCTGTCCGTCCGTCTGGATGAACGCGAGGATCTCAGAAACTATAAAAGCTAGAATAACCAAAGTTGGCATCCAGATTCTCCTAGGTCCGAGAAGGGACGAGTTTATTTTAGTTTTTGGAATTTTCCCCCCCTTCCCCCGCTACAGAATTTCGTCAATTGCGCCCACATTTCAAATGCTACCAACCAAACTTTGCACACATAATTTATATATAATTGTCTACTGTTGTTTTAAATTTCATTCAATTCGGTCAATTCTAAGAAAAGTTATTAGCGAAACAAATTCTCGCCAGTACAACCTCCCCAAACTGCAGCAACAAGTTCGCTCTTCTTCTTCCTCTTTTTGCTGCTGCTATGGGCGCATATAACTCAGTGACGGAAGTTTACCTGGGTACAGGGTATTACACTGTCGGGCTTGTTCGACTGTAGCGTTCTCTCTTGTTAAATTTGTGTCTTATAAATTAAAGTTAAAATTTGAAAAAAATTATTTTAATTAATAAGAATTTTTTTGTTTTTATAGGAGTGGATTCAGGGGACTTAAAGGCTTTTATTAGATGATAAATGATCGAAAAAAAAAAAACACTTTTTTGTTCCTCTACCTTCTAGCGTACTCTTAAATTCTTTGACTTCAAGCTACTTATCAATTATCCAATCTGGTACTAAATAGTAATTGGAATTTTTATTAAATTCGTTTTAGCAACAATATTAATCAGTTAATTGTAAAAGTAACCCCAGAATGAGGACACTGGCAAAGTATTATTTTTTTGACAAACCTGAAAATTAAATTTAAACTAATTTAAACTAAAAGCAGGACTAGTTACTATATTTTATTTATTTATTTATTTCATCGACAAACAATGCAGACGATGTAAAAAAAAATTTAAAAAATATATATAAAAATCAATGCAATAGAGAACTTAAACTAAATAAAACTAAAGAAATAAAAAAGCCTACAAGAATTTTTTTTGCCCATCGGCCAGCTAGGCTCCGATTCACAGCAGAGAGTAGTTAGATACGTTATTAGACCTATTAAAAAAGGAGTGGAGATGAAAAAATATAGCAATAAAAGATGGAAGAAAACAAATTAAAATTAAAATACTTAAATAATAAAAGATAAAATATAATTAAAAATATTATATAGTAATCAAAGCTTTCAACCATCCATTTATTAATTTACAACTGCAAAGATTTTTCATATGATAACTGAGTATATGATAAAGATTAATTCAGTTTTACAACAAATCATTTGTTTATTTAGAATTTTCGATTGAAATCTGTAAATATGTATTTTTATATTTATGCAGATACAACATTTAATGTTTAAAGGATTATACGAAGCATGTGTAGAAACAACTATTCTGCAGTAAAATTTATAAGCTTTTGCCGCTGCTGGAGCTCAAAGGTGTTAGCGAAGCACCAAGTTTTCTTCTTTCTTTCACATTTAGTGTATAATTTTTTTGTTTTTGTCTGACTTTGTTCTGTGAAAAGTTGTTGAGCGGATTAATTTGTAAAGCTGCAGTCAGCAGCAGAAGAAGCAGTAACTGGCAGCTGTTGGAGCAGCTGCAACTTTTGTTTTTGCATAGCAAATTTCTTGAGCAGCAGGATTATGATTGTGAGAGGCTGTAAATGCTGCTCTGTGAATAGGAGCCTGGGTGTGGGCTTGGATGGGTCTGTGAAGACCATGTCTTTGGCAGCACTGCAGCTCGTCAGTTAGTTTTGGCAGAGTTACTTGTCGAAACTTTTTTCGGGCACATCAAAGTGAAGAGACTAACTAGGAAGTGCACTAAAGACAAACCCCTTTCTCGTACTCGTTCTTGTTCTTGTTCTTGTTCTCATTCTCATTTCATGTTTCTAATTTTGTTTTACTTCTCTTATTGCATTGCAGCCGCAGGGCGTGCCCCGCCGGAGCCCTACTACGGTCGCTACATCGGACAGTTCTCAAATTTCGCGCACGGCATCAAGGTGAGCGGAAGGGACGAGGAACTATTAAATCACATAGTTTACATTTTGCCTTTCCCCCCCCCCCTCCCAACAGGGTTCCATCTATGCCGTGGACGAGTCAACGCTGTTCGTGAAGTCATTCGCCTATGATGGGACCGGACCGGATGCCTTCTTTTGGGTGGGCAAGACGGCACGACCCAGCCCGGATGGCTACATCATACCCTATCCGGAGGAGTACATGGGCATGTGAGTATATTATGCCATCGCTTTTATTAATGCATTGAGAATCTACGATTTTTTTTGGGGGGCTACTGGCTACTCAAGCGAATCGTGCCATTTCCTTTGCTTACAACGCCGGGTCGATGTATGTATGTGTGTGTGTGTGTGTGTGTGTGTGTATGTGTATATGCGCGAGTGTGAAATTGTGTGTTTGCGCCTTGTATCCTTGTAGATTTTACGTTACGCACGGTTGACAATGAAACCACTTTCAAAAATTAAAAAACATTTTTCATCTTGGCTGCCATTTGCGCTCATTCTCGGCACTCATTCCCTTTTGCCTCTCGAATACTTTTTTCGAGAGATTTTCCTCAGCTTTCTGTGGTTGTTGTGCTTCTTGTTGTGGTTGTTGTTATTGTTGTTGGTAGCGTTGGTCGCTTGTCGCTTCGTTGCCTTCTAATGTGAAGAACTCATTTATTTCTTCTTATGTTAGATTTGCGGTCATATGTGGAGCGCGGCAGTAGCAGCAACAGCAACAATAACAACAACAAACAATAAAAGACCAAAGCCAGCCGCTTTAATTCTCTCTCTTCCCGAACCATCTCCCTGCTGCTCCTTCCCGCCAAGTGCTCATGTAGTTGGCATTGTATGCACGCCGCGTTGTAACTATTTACTTTGGGTTTTCCATCACCCCAAGGTTAAGCTGCTCGGCTCTTACCTTGCCAACTACTCAGTTGCTTCCTTCAGCCACACACACACACCCATACACATGCTGCTTAAGCTGCACTTGTGTACGCTAAGCTGCGCTGAGCCACCCATCTATCCATCCGTTCCCAAGTACCGCCTCTCTGCTTATCTCTGCTCTTGGTCCAATCCGGCCCAGCTTCTTGCACAATTTGACATCGTTAACTGCTAATATTTCATTAAGCCGCGCATTTGTTTCTAATGCCCGTCCCAATGCCAAGCGCAAGTACAAGTGCCTGGGAAGGGGAAGTGCATCCTCATTGCTGGCATTTCGAAATGTCCGTGAAAACCTGCATTCTACTTACATCTGCTAATAAGTAGATGTTTAGAGCAATTGCTTGGGACTTAACTATGCAGCTCCAACAGTGTAGTTTAGTTTATTTCAAATTACTTCGACGCGCAGGAGAAAATATTTCAACAATTCAGAAACTTTGGAAAGACTTTTCAGCTTAAATGTTTACCTGCGGTTTTTGTAGATAGTTTGTTTTAGACGTGCTCGAAACATTTTATAAAAACCTTTCATGCATACAAAATACTCTACTTGTATTAAGTATATTTCTTTCAGTTTTTATGAATATCTAATTGTATTAAAAAGTATTTCATTTAGGTTTAGTTCATTGATTTAATTTAATTTTAATTAAATTTTGTAGTTTGATTAAGAAAGGTTGTATTCAAAATATATTCCTTTGTTTCGCCAAGTGTTGAGGTACAAGTTTCAAATCAAATCAGTATTACTTTGATATATTTTGAAATTGCATTATAATTATGTTTACTTCACACAATATTTAATAAAAACTGTAAACTGTTTCCGGAATGTTACTAAATTTTTAATCAGAAGAGTCTGTGGTTTAACAAGCAATCATATATGATAATCCTTCAATCATGATTCCTGCCACAGTTTTCTAAATCAAACCAGTTATAGTTTTCTAATTAATATAATTCCATATATGTAAGTACCACTGGCATGCTTAAATATTCCTCATAGTACTCGCAATTCTACAAACACAAACCCATTCGTTTAGATTAGGAGCCCCTTAAAAAAAGCAATTTCAAATATATTTTCCTTTGACTTACCGAGTTTCAAATGAAATCAAATCAGTATTACTTTGATCTTTTGGAATTGCTGTATATTAGTTCCCACCATTTTTAATAAAAACTGTAAAAAATTGTTTCTTGAAATGTTTCCTTAATTTTTAACCGAAAGAGTCTGTGATTTAACAAGGCATCGTATTTGATAATCTTTTTTTCCAACCAAAAATAATTTTCTGTTTAATAAAACTCCATACATATGTGTAAGTAAATATTCCTGAAAGTACTCGCAATTCTACAAATGTGGAGTTGAGGCTCGTTGAGCCCATTTGTTTGGGTATAAGGCCCCTTCGTTACAATTCATGTAGATATGTCGACACTAAGCTGTTAACACATCTTTTGTGCCATCAAACGAAAACAAATTCCTCGTCACAAAAACCACATTCATGTTATTTTAGCCTGGCAATGTTTAAATATTAAGCTAACCTTTGACCTTCGAGTCGAAGCACCCAAACTCATCGACATTTGAACTGTCGACCAAATATGTTGAGAACGCCAAATGCACGCCGCGCTTATAGAAAAAGGAAAAGAGAAAATATTGTGAGAAAGGAACCTAAACAGCGTGCTCGGCATGGCATTTGATGCCAGCGACATGAAAAGTGTTTAAGTGCAAAAAAAGCAAGCACATTTTTTCTTGTATTTAGCCCTGATGCGGCTTTATACTCGTACTGTATAGTATGTATATGTATGTACTATATACTACTTATCTGTATGTACATTGTATATACGAGTATATGTATTTGAATATGCTTTAAGTTGCGCCTCAGCTTCAAAATCGCTTTCCTGTGCGCCTGCTTGGCAACTGCTGCCCTCCCCCCGCTGCTGTCGTTATCAATGAAAGGCTGCAGAGTGTATTTTGCTCCAATCCCCACCTCGCCCGCTCCCTGCACCAGCGCTCTGCACAACTTCATATTGTAATCGACTTTAATGCGTTTCATTGTTGATGCCACGTGCCGTGCTTTATTAGTTCAATGTAAAACGCCGTCGCACCCAGCGCGCCAAAAATAAAAGAGAGAAAGAATAAAGCGAAGCAGGCAAGCAACATACCCAAAAGGCATAGCCCACAACGTGGTGGATTGTCAGTTAGAGGATGGGGATGAGGAATGGGTGGGGGTGTGGGTGTGCGGGAGGTGGTTCGGCTGGTTGGGGGTTTGTGCTTTCACAGCGGAACGCCGGAACGATTGCACGCTTTTACGCTTTCAGACACATTACCCAACCCACTGCCAGGACATCCCATTCCATCCCATCCCAGCACCGGACGTTGTGCACCTTGCCAGTCCAATGGGAAGGAGTTGCGGTAGGGGTGGGGGTAGGGATATGGGTATGGGTATCCGTATCTACACATTGATCGTTGCATAATGTGGCGCCATTTGGTCATTGCATGCATTTGGGAAAAGCAAATTGTGCGCGAGTGTGGTGCGCTCATTGATTACAAACATATGTACGAGTATGTGTGTCTAATCTTTACGATAACGAACTGCTGTGCGAAAATTGATAAACCGCCATTTGGCTGCCTAATTTATATCAAATTGAATTACAAATATTTTAATGATGTAGGTTTGAACTGTAATTCGTTTACATTTCAGTTTAATAATAATAATTACTTAATTTATATCGTACTCGTTTATGAACTTTTCAAGCTAAAGGGCGAGAATTAAAAATTCTGTACTTCTACTTGTAAAGGCTCTATTCATAAGAATTGCATTAAATAAATGTGTACTTCATAATCGTTATTAGAAAGCTAGTCAGTGTGTGCATTGTTTTCATTGCAGATATTTTAAATTCTTCTTCTTTTCTTCTTCCAAAATCAGTATATTTGATATTGTAAATGAACATTCATTTTTATTGTTCTTAAGTTTCAAAATACAGCAAAAACTAAAATAAATATATAAAGAATTTATTATGTTGTAGCAGGCGGTATTGCAGAGCCACTGCTTAAAGCCAAAAAAACACATTTTTGAACCAATATATTTTCAAAACGCTCCCGTCTTTCTTAAAGTTGCTCACATATGCTGTAGTTGTTAATAAATGTACAATTTATATTCTTCATAATACAGAAGAGCACTATTGTAATACTATAATTAAACAGAATAAATGAACAAAGAATTAGTATGGGAATAATGGATAGCATTTGCCAACAGTATTGAGGAGCTAAAGATGTTCTAAAAATTGCATATTTTCAAGTTCAATTAAAATGTTTACATGCTCGGCTTTAAGCTTTGTTGCCACTCATTTGTCATAATTCGAAAACTGCTTAGGAAGTTTAGAATTCGGAAAATAGTTCAACTTTAAAGGCTATTTTGTTTTAAAAACTATGTTTGTTTTCAAATGGTAGCCAACAGACCTCCAGTCTGCGTCTACATACCACAATAATCATTTACATTAGTAGAACTGACCCTCTACCATCATATTTTCACAGGCTACAATTGTTAGGTCTTCCATCACTTGCTAACCGCCGGATTTTATTAGGTGTTGTTTTTATACATAAATTAATTACCGGGGACATCGAGTCTTCGGTGCTTGTTAGCCAAATTAACTTTACGGTACCACAAAGACCTTCAAGATTTTTTGTTCCCATAAGCCTAAATCGCTGTAAAAGCAACTATGCTTAGCACAGTCCGTTTCGGGTTCTGTGTAGCAACTACAATAATTTGAGTCATCTCTTTGGCCATGAGAGTTCGGTTAGTTCGATTAAATCTTGCTTACTTAATTTCCTGATCCGGTCTGAATCTCTTTAAATCGTTTGTAATTATACTTAATTTAAATTTTTATTTTTTATGTTTTTCTTTCCATATTTGAATGTATACCTAGTTTCTTATTTCTTTTCTTTATGTTTAACATTGACAGTTATTTGTCAATTAAATAAAATTTAAAAAATTTGTCATTACAATTAAAACTAAAATTGTCATTACTAAGTAGTTTTTTTTTGTTTTTTTTTTTTTGTTTAGCGGAACCAACATACTTGTAGAACTATATTAAGCTGTTAGATAGGTTATATACTATACTAAAAAAAAATAAAAAAATAATAATAATAAAATTTCGTATATATAAATTTTATAAAAAAAAGACAATACAAAGCAGAATCTGAATTTAAAGTACTTTTTAGTTTCTTTATGCACGAACCTTTTTAGTTTAAATTACTCAGTGCTTTTCTTCTTATTAGAATATTAAAATAAAGAAAGCACTCTTTTAAATTT